TGAGCCAAGACCACGGCCATGCAGTAAAGCCGGACGACCGATGGATAAGTCCCGGAGGCACTGCAATGCAAACACATTGCTGTTTGCACATGTGTTTCCCTTCGTGTAAACTGAGGAGAACTGTAGAGCCAAGAGGTTAGCTTTCGAGTCACCAGCATAGGGTATTATACTTGGCTCATGAGTAGAAAATGCAGCAAATCCACAGCCGGACTTGGTAGATCAATTAAGGCATAAGAATAGTTTCATTGACCTAGAAAGGGATTGTTCAGCCAAGCTGTGCTCAGATCGTTCTCCCTTGTCACGTGTCTGCGGGGCGCAGAATTTCCTGACGGCCCTGTAATTAGAGTAGTCTGAATCCCAGCGGGAAAGTTTGAATTTGTCCCATAGCTTTCGTCGTGGCTTCAGGTTTTCCCTGAGTTCTCGGTCGATCCAGCAAGACCATTGGAGCGGCTGGTTACTGTGGCATGGGAGGCCCTACACAGTGAGTAGCTTCAACTTGTAGAATTGATCGTTTCAAGCAGCATCGAGTCCCATGCGTTGTGGAACCTACCAGTACAGCGTACTTGCTGCTGGCTAGCCGAACAACCTCCTCGTGTTGCTAGCTGGGTGGTTCGGGTAAATCCCGTTCCAGCAAATGGTTCGGCGGCAGTGTTCCAGGATGTGGTGGGATTGCGCCTGGCAAGCGTTCTCCCTATAAAAAGCCACAGGTATCCGTTTAACAACACTGTGATGTGGCGGATGTGACTCGCCAATAAATAAAGTCACTGCCTCTTTACTTTTTCGGAGAATCATTCACACATCACGGACGTCATCTGATTCAAAGCGTTCCATTGATTCCCCCTTTGATGGCGAACACAACAAACAAAAGCACACACAGTCATATTTACCTACTCACACAACATGTCCCTCTACAAATACACAGTTAAACATACTTTAACATTTCAGCACACGCATAAATTCCCATTTTATTGGTCAAATGTACTACTTTGCGCAATTGCCGATCATACATGTCTGTAATACCATGATCACGCCCTAGATGGTGTGCCTCGCAGTGACGAGGATAAACTATTTATTATTTATTTATTTATTTTAAATTGTGTGAATTGGTTCGCCAGAAGTTTCGACGGTGTGTGCTCTGGACTCGAGTAACTAGACAATTATTTAATAAAAAGGAGGTCCTACAATGGTCGCTTTTACGAGTGGGCTGTAGAAGGGTTAATTCCGAGATATCAGACAGAGCCAGAGTGAGAACAAGACCAAGACTGTGCAGTGTCGACTGGAGGATGTCATATGACGAGAGTGATTCGTTTTGAGGACAGTTTCCAGGAGGCTAGCGGCAAAGGGCTCAGGTCAAAGCGGCAGTGTGGTGGGTCCCGACCGACAATAGGGGCTTGAAGTAACCCACAATTACACAACGGGTGCGGTATTCATGCGATCGCATAAATTCTAGCACTGAGGCGCCATGACCCACAGGCTTTGTAGACAACGCCAACCATAAGAGATTTGAAGGCATCAGTGGAGTTGCTCCAGAGCAGCCCTGCCACGCCATCAGCGTCGCTGACAGCTTCTAGGAGATGCGCTTTAAACTCCTCTCCAGTAGAGAACTACGCCGCCAACAGCCCTCGTTACAGAGTTGTCAGCATGGAAAAGTTGTTATCCTGAGCTGTAGACCTCGGAATAGGAGATATCTGAAGTGAACCAGGACTCAGTGAAGACCAGCAGGCAAGAAAGGAGCTGTGGAATACGAGGAGGTACCACGTCCAATTTGTTTTGCATGCTGCTAATTTTTGCAACCGTCACCTGTAGCCTATCTGAGGCCTTGATTTTAAGTCCCGAGAAGGTCGAACAGTGGCTTCCAGCAGGTGCTCTGTCCCTTCAGCCCTACCTGAAAGTCCCCATCTGCGCGTTGGTCAGGCTATTCGCTCCATGAGATCGTAGTTCTTTACCTGCATCCCACATTTTGGGTTGATCTCCTGGGAAGAGATCTCTAAGGACACGGAACTTTTCTCCATTGAGACGTGAGCTCCGTCCGAGGATATGACAACACCCTTTTTCATTCTGAGGGCCCATTTTGTGAGGACGGAAGTTAGTGGGATCTTCTCGCTTTCTTCTAAGGCTAAATGCAGAGACAAAGTTAAACCCTTTTCCCCACTCTCGAACCAAAGAGGCTATGCGCTTTAGAGTGCCTGATCTTTTTATTCGGCTGGTGTCACCCTATTTGACTCTTGAGTATTTAGGAGGATTAGACACCACTGACGGGAGGGACGCTTGTTTCCAGCAAATATTGCTGGTTCCCGTGTGCAGGAGTTAGCCTTGAGCAGCTCTTCCATCTGCATCACTCTGCACAATATCAATCGAAGGTGGGATGAAGCAGGCATCAGTGCTGTTTTAGACTTCTGCATCTTGTCAACGATCGTTTTGCGCACAGCAGTGTTTGGAGTGGCCGAAATTGTTGGCACGCTATTGCTGGCTACATTCGCATATGCGTTTGGCTGTGGAATGCTGACCCGTCCTTCATTCGTTGCTGCTGTTGCAGGAGAATCGAAAATGTGTCTACCCTGCCGTCGCGAGGTGTGCGCAGCTGAGAGCGTTGGATAGGTAGGCGTAAGATCATCAGCTGTGAATACTGCAGACTCAGCTGAGCAGGAACGCAGAGAGAGAGTCGGACACTCGTATGATGGGTGGTTAATGCTCACTGCGGTTCGGCGCTGTCAACCTGAAGGCTGAGAACCGTTGAGGCACACTGCTGAAGTACATGGCGCAGTTTCGCCCTGTCACCACAACCAACGACGTGCAGCTAAGTGTTACAAAAGCAGCATTGGACAGCTTTGGAACGGGATGAGGACCTTGCTGCAGAACACGCATTTAGATGACATTGTTCACCTTTTTTAATCGAACCCAGTTGCAAGCTGGAGACAGCAACGACCTCGGTTCCACTTCTACTGTTTTGCTGGGACCGTCCTACGCGCCACTGGCGCGATTTTGGATGCGGGCTGTTGTTCATGAGGACAACCTGTTTCGGCGTTCTCCAAAAGTAATGGTTTAATTGGGTAACTTTCTTGCGCAACCGGTTTGTAAAGATGTCAGTACCTCTAAAAGTCCGAAATCTGATCTGTGCCATGCTTAATTACAAAGTTGAATAGCAGTGGAAAAGTTGAAATATAGCAATAAGTAAGACGTTAAAAAGGAAACGGACTATGAAATATGGTTTATGGAAGTCCGCGGTATGTATT